AACTTTCGTTTTCCTCCATTTTTGTCTTTTATCACTCTTTTTCACATACATTTCATTCCATCTATCAATGTAGTCCTACAAACACAATTTCTATCGATTTAAGCCATATTCAAGCATTTATGTCAACAATTAGTCATGTAATGTAGCAAAATACACATTAGAAAATGCACTTATCAGTATTGAAGAAGAAAAAGAAGTTGAAGTGTTGTATTTTCTATTGTTGAGGAGGATCTAATGATGTGTACTTTGAAATAGTGTCCGAGTTAGTAATGAGCTTGGAGCAGCGAACCCCAAGTCGGCAGCTTTCTCGGTTGTTGTGGTAAATACCGTTTCTGTCATTGTTTCCGTGTTGGTTGCAGCCATCGTGTTATGGCAACGACATAATATTAGCTACATATTCACGAATGGTACCACGGTTTCCAATGCAGTCTCTGAACTCTGTCCATGCTTAGGAGTCACTCTCATTCTCAATGGCATTCAACCAGTCTTGTCCAGTAATAATTAATTTCCTCCGAACAAAAACTTACGTACTAAACTCACAATCTGATCTCTTATAAGTAAAACTAACTTGATGTTATAACAATATTTTTCACTCCGTGATTATTGAAGGGGTGGCTGTTGGCTGTGGATGGCAAGCATTTGTTGCCTATGTAAATGTTGGGTGTTTCTACATTGTGGGAGTTCCAGTTGGTTGTCTTCTGGGTTTCAAATTCAACTTTGGAATTAAGGTATGAGAAATTAGCTTCTTTACTTGTGGGGCATGATACATATTGGACATGATTGATATATTCGATCTAACATTATTGAAGGAAAAGAAATTAAATAAATTGTTTGTTATTGCGTCCAATCAAGAATCAAACACGTTGATGATGAGATGAGCTAGTATTGAATAGATATTCATGCTTGTAGGGAATATGGTCCGGAATGATTGGAGGAACAATGATGCAAACCATCATATTGATCTGGGCGATATTTCGAACTGATTGGAACAAAGAGGTCAATTTTCAAATATCATTTTAAGATTGTTACATGTACTAGAAAGATTCGGTAAAATTATTTTGATGTAATTGCTCAACAAACAAATCAAATGCTTTAGGAGTTGTCGAGTTGACTCCATCTAGTCGACATTGTGGTGTTCAACTTCATCTAGTCTTTGGTCTCGACTCTCGACTCTAAGTTGTGAACTCATCCTCTCAAGTGCTGAGCTCGTCGACTCAGCACAACTTTGAGATCTAAATTAATTGGAAATAAAAATACAATTTTAATAAAATTTAAACCTGTGGAACAGAAGCCATGTGGCACGTGATAGTTTTTTTAATTTATTTTGTGAGTTCAGAACTGACGGTGATAAATTAAATTAGATTTTTATAACGTGGAAAAAGATGTGAAAAAATCTTTATGTTTAAGATTGGACATTAGCTGGGGAAATTATCAATGTGTATGGCTGTATACAACTATGTATAGTTAAGGTGAGACAACCGGACAGTTATGGAGTATAATAAATAAGGATACATTTATGTACGAATCCTCCATGCTTGTGTTGTTCCTAAATTTTATGTCTTTATAGCACAGGAAAAATTCACTTTATTAACCGAGAAAAACTCACAATACAATGTTTTTCCTACTCACTACTTTTTCAACTGAAACTAGAACGCTCAACATACTCTGATTTGGGATAGGCTACAAAGTTCCTTTTCTAATGGAGCAAATATTATTGAATTATTTTTAAAATATTCTATTACACGGTTAGAACCGCGAGCTCCTACTCAGTGTGTTGAACTATCTAAAAAAAATATATATTACGTGTTGATATTTTTTTCATTAACCCCCTATTTGACAATCATTATTTTAAAAAAAAAATGTTTTAAATAGTGATTTTTAAGAGAGTATGTAGTTAAAAAGTAGGGAAAAGTTTTGGATTTACGTGCATACTATTTTACTGTATAAATGTGTAATTGAAAATGAGTATATAGAAAAAAGAGTTTTCAAATATGATTGTCAAACATGGGGCCAACTCGCGTCTTAGGAGTAGGCCGAAGACCGGCCCATGGCTCAATTATAACTTAGGACGAAACAACCTTTTTATCTCACACCCTGAATCGATCCTAAAATATTGGACTGTGGCAGCACTGAATTTCACAACTATCCTTGAAAGATTCATAGTATTATGTCAAAAATATAACAATCCATTCCGTGCATGTAAAATGTAATTTATCATGTATCATTAAACTCAATTTCCAAGTGAAAAAACAAGAAAAATATAAGAGGGAGAGGGACTTCAAATGATCATTGGTGGGAGACTTCTAATTATTCCCTCTCTTCCATGAATCAGTCGCTTCCAAGATTTCAATTGACAAGTAATTTTCTTGCAGAAACCAGTTTTAGCCGAAGCTAAGGTTACTCCAATACTCTTTCTCAGTGTCTTAAATCTTTTACCAATCTTGATCTTCAACTTGAACATTTTCACTCTCAGCCATGAAGGTCTTGATCTCCTAATTTCTGCTTTCTGCAAAGCCTTGTAAATCAAGAATTGTGCCCTTTGATGCTTTTTTTCTTCCGGGTCAAACATTTCCATCTTCGAATAAGCATATGATCTGTTCAAAAAGGCCATTTTGATGGTCTTGAGGCTACTTGACTCGACAGGGAAGGTATTTTATTGGCAACCGGGCTTGTCTTTTTTGATACAGAAACTCTGAAAAGCCGGATTTTTTTTTTACCAAGGGCTTTCTCGTGGTGAGCTCTGTCTTATGTGAGAGAGAGATAGAAGAGAGACAGATGAGTTGATCCAAGATTTGCTGAATTTGATGAAGTATTTATAGTGAAACATTGAAGAGGTGCAATTGGGTTCATGTTATGTTGAAACAGTACATGTGTTTGTTAGTAATAATGGGATTGAAAATTAAAAAACAGAGCTGGCCAGAAATGCATTGTAGGCTGCAAAAATTTCTTTTATTTAATATATATTGAAGATTAGAAAAGTGCGATCGAAAAGAATTTAGTTGATTCATGAAGGGCTTGAAACGGAAAATGAAGAAAAGGGATGAAAAGTAAAAGCTCGTCTGCTGATTTTGTGAATATTTGAGGATATGGAATCTGCATTTCGTTGATTCATGAAGGGTGTGAATAATCGATGCAACATCGAAGAACTCTCAATCGAATTCTTTTAAAACAAACCCGACAACCTAAAATATATGTTAATTCAAACCACAAGATAACATCTCAACTTTTATTAATAATGAAATGCCCCACAATTTTACTAAATAGGAAAGAAATAAAAGTCGTAACATGGACCCAAGTGGCCAGTGTCATGCATTCTCTTCATATCATTTTATTACATCTCTTTTTAAATCTCGACTAGCCTTGTAATTAAGTTATTTTTCCAAATTATAATTAAAAAGTCCACCGGCTGTGCGAAGCCAGAGTCATCAACTTGTGAATTATTTTGTATTTTATTAAATCAGTTTCACTCGTGGCTTATGATGTGTGTGGGATCCCCAAGTCACAAGGAGGGAAAATGATGCTTTCCTTATATACATATTACATAATTAATTAAATACTGACTTATAAGTCAGACCAATAATTCCTTGAGCTATTAGGGAAAAGAATAAACAAAGAGGGAACTTTAAAATTATAATTATTTTTGTAATAAGTGGTCAAAGAGCCATAGGTCTCTCAGACGGTTGAGGCCACCATTTTTCAAAAGTAGACGGCCATATATAGGCTATAGCTGCCGGCAGATTGTATACTTTCCGGCGATTGAAGATCTGGATTAGAAACGGCAATGTATTTTGGCTTCTTGATAGAGATGTAATGTTAGTTCCAATTATTATTACTGCTGCTAGGTCTTACATTATATTTAGGGATGTCAAAATGACTCGTCGGTTCGAACTGCTCATGACTTGACCCAAAAAAAGTCGCGAGTCGACTCTGCACTACCGAGCGAGGCTCGGACCGAACCCATTTTGGGGGGCATTGGCCGAGCCCGACCCAGCCCGTATCACTGGCCATTCGGCCCGGACAGGTTGAGCTTCATTAAAAATGAAAAAAAATAAAAATGAAAGGTAATCAGTTGCCGGCAATTGCACAAAAAAAAAATCGAGCCAGATCGATTTGGCTCGGCCCGTTAAAGCCC